CATTCACGTGGGCAGTTGGTTTCTTGCTTTGTGTCTGGTGTCTTGGGGAGAAAATGGGCTGAGAACCAGTGTTTTTGCAGAATGTTAAATAGCAGAGCTGGGATGCTGGAGGCCGCCCAGCCACCCCGCACTGGGCCTGGGGTCGGTCTGGGGGACACTCTTCGAGGCTTGGGGGGGGGGGCACCGTGGCAGCCCGAGCCCCCCCGCCCCACACCTGACCCCCTCCTCCCCGGGGGCCAGGGGCTTTGGCTTTGGCAGGCAGCCCCCCAGATGAGGGGGCAGGATCTGGGCCTGACGGAAGGAACCTCCTAACAGGCATCTTCTGCTTTGGGAGGTGGTGAGAGTCTCGCCATAAGGCAGCGGGGTCTAACAGAAGGGCAGGGTCCCCCAGGCTCCCGGGCGCAGGCCCCCGCCCCCCTCCGGGCAGGACCCTTGCTGGGTAATTCCCTCCCCTGCTTCCCAGCCTGGAACCAGGGCAGTCTCCAACCGTGGGTTTCCTTCCCCATCCCTGCCTTTGCCCCCTAGGTCCCAGGACCAGAAGCCCCCTGGGGCTCCTCCCTGAGCAGAGCCAAAGCAGGCAGCAGGGGCCTAGGAATCATAGCCGCTGGGGTCCCAGATGTGGCGGGGGGAAGGGGTGGGCTGTGCGCTGTTTCCTCTGGTTTCCGTGGCAGGTGTTGCGAAGGTCATCTCTGTGCCCGGCCCTGCACTGGACCGGCTTGACCCTCCTGGGGATCCTGCAGCGCGGCCTTGCTCCCTCCCCGGGCGCTCACGCGCCCCATCACTCATTCGTGCGCTCGGGAGCACGTCTTCTTCTCTGCTGTGCGCCCGGTAGGCGCTGAGCCCCCCCTAGAGCGGGGAGCTGGGGTAGCGGAGGCCGCGAGGAGACACTCGGGCTCTGGCCTGGGGCATGGGGGTCGTGTGTAGCAACAGGGCTTTTAAAAGACAGAAACCCTTGCACCTGGGAGGCAGGGAAGGAGCAGGAGGTCGGGGCTGGATGGCCGGTGCCAGGCAATGGGCTGCAGAGCGGCACAGACACCCCCAGCTCCGCCCGCTGACTTGGACAGCCCAGGGACAGTGACCGCAGGGACCCTGGCCCCGGGGTGCAGGACAGGCAGGGCTCAGACAGGGGACCGGGCCACAGGGGCCTGAGAGGCCTCCATCCCGACGCCCTGCCAACCCCACAGCCCTGGACAGAAAGGCACAGGGTCCCTGGGCTGGGACAGACTCAGGCACAGAGCACGGTGAGGCCACCACCCCCCCGCCCCATGCTGGGCTCCCGGCACACTGACCTTTACCCCCGGGCAGAGGTGGGGACCTCCTTCAGGGACTGACTAGCCCAAAGGAAGCTGTCATCAGGGGCCCTGCAGCAGATGGCCCTCTAAGGTCCTTGACATGGTGCTGACAGTTCAGAAGGCCACCGTGTCCCCACCGTATCCCCGCACCTTCCACCGGCTTTACGTCCTCACTCTGGGCCACGAACAGAAGACCAAGGATTATCGGCACCTTGGAAGGTGCTCAGCAGCAGCTCGGAGGCCAGACTCCTGGGTGGGTGCAGGGACCGGAGGGGGGCGCTGCAGAGAGAGCCAAGAACAGCATTAAAATCCTTAAAGAGGGCGATTCCACATCCACAGAACGTGAACAAGGGCCATAGAAAAGGGAAAAAACAGAACAGAGAGTAAAGTGAAACATGGTCACAGAAATCGAGTCCTGGAGCTGGAACAAACGGTGAGTCAAGGCCCCGGAAAGTGGAGCAGGAAGGTGACCAGAGCTGGAAACCAGGAGAAGGGAGAAAAGAAGAAAATCCAAGGAGCGTTCCTGGCACTCAGGGCCCAGGGAGCAGGGGCTTCCAGAGAACACAGAAAGGAAAGGAAAGCAACTGGGGTGATCACGAGAAGGTCCCAGGACCAGAGGACCAGCCGCCGGCCGCGAGAGCCCTGCCAAGGAGCACCACTGGGAAATCTCAGAGCCCAGGGACGAGATGCAAGGGTGCTGCGATGTTCCAGGGAGAGGTCCAGGTCTGCCAGGAGCCAGGACGACATCAGGCCCCTCGGTAGCACTGCAGCGCCTGGCCCGTTCTGGGGGAAGGTTCTTTCCAGCCTGAAGTTTTCACCCAGCCAGACTCGGTCAAGTATGAGGGTGAATCTGGGCACGTCCAGGCTTGCTCCCTGCCCCGAGGCTGGGCGTGCGAGCTCAGGGTGCCAGCCTGGTGGCTGGACATGTGAGCTCAGGGTGCCAGTTCACAGCCGGTGCCTTTTGCTGGGTCCTCATGGTGGGAGGGGTGAGGGAGCTCTCTCGGGTCTCTTTTATAAGGGCACTAACCCCATTCACGAGGGCTCCATCTTTACGGCTTAGTCACCTGCCAAAGGCCCCACCTCCTAATATCACATTGAGGGTTAGGGTTCCAGCATGTGAATCTGGGGGGACAAAAACACTGAAGCCATGTCAGTCACAGAGGCCACCCCCTGAGGATGGTGAAGGCAGGTCAGGAGGCCGCCCGTTCCCCACGTGGAAGCCCCCAGGACAGCCGGGACCAGTGTGGCTGAGAGGCCTCCTGTTGGGCCGTCTCCACCAAAGTGTCCACCGAGCCGGACCGCCGCGGCGGCCAGGCCAGGGCCCACAATAGCCTGCCCAGGGTCTCGTCTTGGCCGTGCAGCCCTGTTCCTCACGGAGGCTCTGCTGCCTGGGTCAGCTGGGGGCTCACTTCGCCCGCCCCCGGGAGTGGGGGTGGTCACAGTGGGCCGAGGGAGACCTCCAGAGCCGCTCCCCCCGCGGCCACGTCCCGGGCCTGGTCCCTGGCTGTCGTGAGCCCTGCTCTGCAGACGCACGTGGACTCCAGGGAAGTAGACGCTCCGGCTCCTGTCCCGGAACTGCTGCCCCCAAGGGCCCTGTGTCCTCACTCAGTGAGGTTCGCCCCTGCTACTCAGTTTGGTTTTCCAAAGCTCGGCCACGTGGTTTAGGATAACACACAGGGAACCAGGAGATGTATGGGGGCGACTGGCCCGAGGAGGGGGTCCCCATTCCCCGTGGAAGGGGGCACGCTGCTCTGTTCTCTCCCTCGGCCGAGGGGCGTCTACGATGCAGACTGGACACAGATACGGAATAGACTCTTCAGAGTGTATGATGTCCTCCACTCGGCGCCGCCAAAACGCATCTGTGTCCTCTGAGCTGGGAGGGCTTGTTGGGGACGCCCAGGCCCCGCACCTAGAGTCATGGACTCGGGAGGGCAGAGAGGTCTAAGCCAGCCGCCCCCAGTAAGGGGCCCAGGGCTCCGGAGGACAGGTGACACCCGGGAGAGCCCAGAGGCCGGGCCCAGGGCACAGGGAGGGGTGCAGATCGGAGCAAGAATGTCCAGAAATGAGACAGAGTGCCGGCTGGGCCCAGAGGAGGGCGTCTGGCCTGGGCCCAGGCAGGGCTTTGTGGAAAGGAGGCTCCAAGGACGAGGACGGTGTGGATGGGAGAGAAGGTCAGCCGGCTGGGGGGAGGGGTGAGTGCGCCAAGTGCAGGGTCTGCAGGCTGGCACGTCCGGCAGGGCCCCGGGATCCCCCAGGAAACGCGGAGCCAGGCTCCTGGAATGTTCTCCCGCACGGGAGGGGCCGCCCACGGGTCCCGGGACCAGTAGCCCCCGCTTCAGCAGTCTCCGAGAACGTCCGGGGGCCTCAGCCTGGAGAGCAGCCGGCCTCCCCCTGAACGCACTGTGAGGCCCAGAGCCCCCGCACGCTCCACATCAGCCCTCTGGTCAGCCCTCCAGGAGTCCTTCTGCAAGCCCATCTCCTGGGCATGCGCTGCTCCACGGGGCAGGGGATCGGGTGACGGGAGGATGGTCTCCCTGCAGGCACAGAGGCTCGAGTCCCCCGCCAGGAGGACGGGTGAGGTTTCCAGTCTGGTTCCAAACTAGGCTTAAGACGGGTGATCGGAAATGAGAGAGACGCCGGGGCCGGGAGTCCTTGGGGAAGAGTAAACGGTGGGTGAGCCGGGAGACGGCGCTTTCCTCCTGCCAAGCCGTGTCCGTCACCTCACAGGGGATCCCCCTCAGTTCATCCAGCGTCTCCGTCCCTGGAAGCCCCTCTGCTGCTCGCGGCTTCTTTGTTGAAGTGTTCGTCCACCATCTCAGACCCCGCTCCGCCCATAGGCAGCCACGGGAGTGTATTTAGTGTTTCTTTTATGAGCCGAGTGTGTTGTCACAAACACACGTATTGTGAGTGTGTGTGTTCCATTTACCGTAATGGTATTATAACCCATTCTGTTTCCTTTTTCTCTCCTACTGAGTTTTGTGTTGTGAAGTCTACTCACGTTGCCGTGAGGATGCCCAAGCAGATACCTTCCCACCACTTGAGACCTATTTACATTCCCAGTGTTTGTTCTAACGTCATTATATCAGTCTGACTATTCCAGACATGGTAAGAGTTGATGATGTTAACAGTACCCTTATTTGGTGTTTAAACACTACTGGGTGATCTCCCTTCCTCTTTTTAATTGAATCCACAAATTTCCAAGCCATGTGCAAAGAGGCCTGTGTAGTGAGCTTGGGGCAGTGACACAGCTTGGCCGGGCTGCAGGGGGCTACCTGTTCACCACCTTAGGTGTTCCTGGAAGTCAGCGTTCATCTTCTGATGGCAGCGACCTGGGGAGGGAGCCTGGCCTGGTGGCTGAGGAGTGCGGAGCCGGGGCTGCGGAGCACCTCGTGAGTGCCTGGCCGTGCTCAGGTCAAGGGTTACTAGGCGACCCTCTGCTCATAGCATAGCAGCAGCAGCTGCAGAAGAAAGCCAGCATCTTCCCCATGCCCGTCGGCATCCCAGCCTGCCTGTCAGCCAACCTGCCAGAACTGGGAAAGCAAGGGTGCCCCTCAAGCGTCAGACCCCTGTCTCTCGGCTTGAACATCTTGTGACCTGGCCTAGGCAGTGGTGGCCCCGCAACACAGGACGCCAGTGGGGGAGGGACTTGCTGACCAACTGGGGCCTCGGCCGAGGCGGCTGGGGCCTGGGGGAGACCAGCTGTGCGGAGAGGCCACCGCTGGGCTGCTCCGGAGCTCTGGGCTAGGACAGCTTCCCTGTTTCCCTGCTGCTCATCCGAGCACGGGCTTGTGTCCGAATGCAGGGTATCGTCTGCCTTTTTTATTATTGTGGTCTTTCCTGGCTGGATAATGAACAAAATCAAAATATTCAGATGATTTATGGTTTTAATGCAGACATCAGTCTGTAATTTCAAACGCAGGAATCCAGTCTCAGCAGAGCCCCTCTCATATTTACACACACACTGATGGATGTACATGGATTCACACACACGGGCGCTTGGATTCTTTGGGAGAAAGCTCTTATGTCCCTAGCATCATGTTCCTGTGTGCTGGAATAGTTAGTGTTACGAGAACCGTCTTGAAGCCATTCCCAGCCTGTGGTCACCTAGAGCCACTGCCGCGTGTCAAGGGCAGGGCCCATGGGGGCACGGGGGGCTGGTGCTGCCCTCCCTGATTCAGGCCATTGGGTGAACCTGTTGCAGGACAGCGTGGTGCCAGCGCCCCTCTCCCCCACCCCCCGTCATGCACTGCAGCCCACCCTCTCCCTCCGGCCCCAGGACTTCCCACGGGGGGCTCAGGGCAGGCCTGGCAAGCCCCTCCCAGGGCTGCTCTCCTTGGACATCACTTCCCTGCCTGCCAGCCCCTCCACCCACCTGCGCCCCCGCTGATTCCTGGCTGTGGGCCTGCAGTCGGGGCACAAGGAGGGGAAGGCAGGGGTGCCCCCAGCCTCGGGGGGGGGGGTCAGAGACTGCGTGGCTCCGCGAGAATCAGTTTAACTGATGTCAGGAGGCGCGGCAGGGGAACCAAGCGGCTGGGGGGGCGTGACCTGGAAGAGAGCCGTGGGCGCAGGCACGGCAGGCCCGGGGCAGGACCCACGGTCCGGGCATCTCGGAGGGGGTGGGGCGTGACGGGGAGGGTCCACAGTGTGTGGTCCAGGCCAGGAGCCGGGATGAGGTGGGCACGGACCTCACCAGGGCCGCTCCCCTGGTGAGCCATCTGGACCCTGTGACCCAAGGCCTGCTTTCTTCCTGGGGCCCTGGGAGCAGCTCATGGCCACCCAAGCAGAGCTGGTGCTTGGGTCGGGGAGAGGGCAATGTTGGGAGTGAGCCCTCCCAGCACCGGGCCCGGCTCTGCCAGGTCCGGAAAGCAGGCTCCCAAGCTGGGCTGTGGAACCTGCCAGGAAAGGCCTGGGGGCCGCAGTGGGAGCGAGGTGGAAGGGGGGCAGGGAGCTCCTGGCTGCACAGAGAGTCTCTCCCGGATGGGGGCAGCTCCTGAAGGGGAGTCGGCCAGCTGGAGCCTGGGCTTCACACTCCGACGACAGCCTGGGGAGGAGGGGCCGGGGAGCTGTGCCGCCCTCTGGCCCTGCATGACAGGCAGGTTTTAGGCTAGTCATCAGCCAGCACCCGGATCACACTCAGGAAGAAGACAGTTCAGCTCCTGTCCTTGCCGCCGAGGCGGGCCTGAGCCTCGTGGGACGGGGGCCTTTTGTCTGCAGCGTGGGCCCCGGGCAGGCCTTCCTAGACGGCCAGCTTCAAGACTGTGTGGTTTCTTAGCTGTGCACCGTCCCAGTGAACTTGGAACACTCGTACATGGGGTGGTGGCTGCTGTTACATCCCAAAAGACCCCTCCGTGTCTAAGGGTCAACCTCAGGCCTCTTTCTCTTGCTTACAGCTGGGGAGGGCGGCCAGAGCTCAGAACTGAGAGCCAGTGTCGGGTGCAGGGAGCTCTGGGTAGTTCCCTGCCAGGTGCACAGCTCGGGCTGGAAGCAGAAGCCTCCGTGGGGTCTCCCCACCCCGTGAGGAGTGGGCTGTTGCCATGGAGAACGCAAGGGCTCTCCGCAGGGGCTGGGCCCGCTCAGCCCAGGACCCACCGCCGCCAGGTGCCGCCCTGGCGGCGCCACACGGTGATACAGTGGTACCTTTGAAGCCCGTTTGCCCCTCCGTACGTGGGACGCGTTGTGCATCTTCCGCACGTGGGACGCGTTGTGCATCTTCCGCACGTGGGACGCGTTGTGCGTCTTCCGCACGTGGGACGCGTTGTGCGTCTTCCGCACGTGGGACGCGTTGTGCGTCTTCCGCACGTGTCAGGGCGCTGTGGCGGCGCCGCCAGCACCGCGCTCCCTGCGGGCTGGGGCGCCGGGCGACCCTCTGCCCGCCTGACCTCGGCTCTCTTCCCTGCAGGCTCGCTAACGTCGGTGTTTGTCAGGCTGCCCTGCGGTGGTGTCGGGGTAAGTATTTCTTTAGTGTGTAAATAATGTCCTGTTTGTCCTCAGGGTCCTGGTGGGCACGGAAATCGCCGCCTTGCTCTCCGCAGAGCAGGTAATTGTTGCCAGGCGTTTTCCATAAACGGGGCCTGCTGGGCGGGGCTGCCCCACCGCTCACACGTGTGGCTTCAAAGGCCCTGTGAGCCTGTGAGCGTTCTGATGGCGGGTCTGGGGCACCTTCCTCCGGGGAAGGTCGTCTGGCACCACGGCTGGCTTTAGGAAACGGGATCTGGTGTGTGGGCCCGTCTCGTCTGACCCGCCGAGCCACAGTCCACTCGTCCCGGCTCAGGTCGTGAATCCCTCACCTCACGGGGTGTGTGTTGATCCCGTATCTGAGCTCCAACCCGAATCCCCAAGTGCAGCTCTGACCATGGGCGTGAGGTTTGTGGGCCACGTCGGGTGGGTAGAGCTGCTCCTCCGGGAGATGGCGCTCTTGGGCAGACCTGGGCAGGTAGACACGCAGGAGAACCAGCATCTTGATTTAACTTGGGCTTTCCCTGCCCGGGATGGGGGCGCAGAACCCATCTGGGCACCCACCCCTACCTCAGCGCAGCGGAGGCCAGGTCTCCGCAGCCAGAGCTGCTCCTTCAGTCAGGAGGGGCTGTCCCCCCTCCCGCCGCTGTCCTCTGGATGAGGGAGGGTGAGGGCAAGGACCAGCCCCCTCCTGGCCAGTCTGCTGGCCGTGGAGCTCCCCAGCCCGGGAAGTGCTGCAGCCGGTCTCGGTCACAGAGAGGCCGGAGGACCTAGTGGACGACAAAGGCGTCTCGGCTGGAAGCGCGCTTCAGCCGAATGTGAGCGTAATGACAGAGCGCAGGGGGAAGCTCGGGGTCTGGATTCCGTTATGGAAATGAAACAAAATTGTTTTCTTCCTGAGTTTTTGCAAAAATCGCTGCTTTGAAAATTATCCCGTCAGAAAGAGCATAAACGGCGTTTGTTCATACCACCACCAGGGCCTCCTAGAGTTATTGTATTTTGTACTGTAAATAGGCTGCAATCTCTTAATGCGGGGCAAATTTTTGGCCAGACTTGAAAAGCCTTGGATTTGCACTGCCCTGCAGCAGGATGCTGTGCGAGGCAGGACTTATAATTTGCAAATGAAAGCGAAATGGGGACTGGGCCTGGGGCCTTGAGCCAGGTGGCCCCTCCCCAGTGTGAAGTCCAGATCCAGCCCCCAGCAGGCTATCAGCGCCCACCTCCACATCCAGGCACAAAAATGCTCTGGAACACGGAGACGTGGAAAATCTCACCAAGTCGAACCCGGTCGAGAGAGGAGCCCATCAGAATAATTAGTGGGAAGTGTGAACCATAGGGTGTCTCAAGGGATTGTTCACTTTCAGTTGTTTTCTATAACTGCCCCAATAGGAGGGCAGAGAATCGCAGTGCCGGCCCTCCCACCCGGCTCAGCGTGGACTCGCCATGTCGCTGGTGCAGCCGCAGCCCTCTTGGGCCTCTGAATCTCCTTCCAGAGCTGGGGGCCAGCCCCCTGGGGTGTTGTCAGGGAAACAGAGGAGACCCCAGGGGCCCAGGTGTGGCTGGGAGGGTGCAGGTCGGCTGCTGAAGCAGGGAAGGAGAGGGTGCATTGCTTCCCCCGAAGCTACTTGAATTAACATCTAGGTTCTGTAATGGAGCTTTTAAATGGTTTTACCTTTTTTTTCCAAGCCAAGTAAGAGAAACTTCTGTTTTGCTCACCTCCTGATGAGTGCATTTCCCTTCCAGCCCTGCCCTGGTAGGCCCTGGGGACCCCGAGTGCCATGGCTTCTAAGGTCCGTGGCCCACCCAGAGTGGCCACCCCGAGTGTGCACTTGAAATCTCTGTAAGGGGTCTCCCCACCCTGTCTTCACCTTTTCTCTGTCTTTGCTGGAGGGATTGTGGAGTGTAGCCCGTTGCTCGTTCCCTTGTTTCCTGCTCCTGTATTTGAGGTTGCCCCAAGCAGGGCCGCCTCGTCCTTCTGGAACTCGGGGCTCCAACCCGACCATCGCACGTTGGTCCCTGGGGAGCTGGTGGCCAGAAGCTGGGGGACTGAGACCCCGACGTCCGGTTCTCTGGAGACACTGCAGTGGGGCTGGGGGGCCTGCCCCTCGCCCTGGACACGGTGTCACGGGACCTCTGGACCCTGGGGTCAGGCGGGAGAGGAGCAGAGCACAGAGACCCTCCAGGGCACGCTGAGGGTCAGTCCCTTCCCCACCCGGCTCCGGTTACTTAGCCTAAAACCCGAATCATTGCATTTGGGGGAGAAAGAATCTGCACGGTTTCGCCCCAGCCCCCTTCCGTGCTCAGGGGTGCGGCCTCTCGCGAGGCCCGGGCAACCGGTCGGACCCTCCTGCCAGCTCTCGCTTTGGTTCTATTGAATTGCTTCTTCGGCTGAAGCAGCTGGTCCAGAATATTCTAGTTGAGTGCCTGCTTCAATGAATAACAGCACAGTATTATTTAGAACAGAAGCCGGTCTTTGAACGTTGGATATTAATGCTGCGCAGAGTGCGCTAAGTGCAGAGCATGCTGCTGACATTTGGAAGCTATTTAAAGAACATAGAGGTTTGGTCATTGAAAAGAAGAGCCTGCACGGAATAACACTCCTCAGGAAATAGCTCGAGCGGCTCGTAAATGTATTTTACATCATCTTGCTTTGAAGATGAAGTCCCAAGACTTCATTGGAAGAAATCCATCCGCACCACGTAGTGATCAGGGCCTTTGTCAGGTGGGCAGGGGCCTGGGCGCTGACTCTGGCCGGGCTGGAGAGGGGGTGCCGGGCCCTCACCTGCGGCTCAGCCTCTGTGTCCGGGGCCCCGAGCGTTCAGCGCTTGGAAGAGGTTGCCATGGGAAGGAGGGTCTCACCCAGGCCCCGGCCGACTCTGCTGCAGGTGGAAGGGCTTATTCCTCACAGCTTCCCAGAACCGTTTCTAGGCTCGGGTACCCACAGGAAGGGCACGCGAGCCCCAGGTGTGTGCGGCCGAGGCACCAGCTGCCCTGCCCTGGGGATGGCAGCGCCCTTGACCTGGAACCAGGGGCTCCTGCTTTATCGTGGTCCCTGCTCCCTGTCCCCCAGGCTCCCGCAGGAGACTCAGCCTCCGCAGAACCGACTCGTCAAGTCTGTCTTCATCCTGCCCACATTAGCTAGAGTTTAAAAACTATATCTAATGTGTAAGTAAATAAACCAATACAGAAACAAGTCACCTGACAGGTCTGTGCCACACACGGGTTTTTCTCTTTGAAGGGGAACAGCTACCTGCACAGGTGCGCCAGGCCCTGGGCCGAGCCCCCGGCGTGCGTCCAAGAGCCTGGATTCCCCTCCCCTCACCGTCCGCGTGCCGCGTCCCTGTTAACGACTCCTGTCGAACACACGGGGCTCCTTCAGTTCAGCATGAAACAAAGTCATAATTTGGAGGGACCTCTAATTCTGACACTTGCCACATTTGCTTTTGCTAATTGTTAGTGTAACTCAGCTGCAGTTGCAGTTAAAAAAAGAAGGGAACTAGGTAACCTTGACATCGTGACTCCTAGCATGGAGTATTTTGGAGCAATGGAGAAAAGAAATGACACCTCAGAAAGGGGTAAAAACGCAGGTGTGCTATTTTTGGTGCATTCACTGTTCTTTTTTCTGTTCAGTATTTTTCGGCGTGTCTTCAAAAAAAAAAAAATGTTAAGCCCGAATGTGAGCTGGCTACGTTCTGTAATTAGTCAAGGAGAGACGGCAGGCTCTGGTTTTAGAGGCAGAGCACAGGGGCCCCTGGCTGCACGGCCACCCGGCCGCGATGTGGGGTGACTGTGACCAAGGACGCCGGCCTTACTGCGGGCCTGATGTCTTCACAGGTAGACAGTGACACCATATGGAACGAGGTCCACTCGTCGGGGGCAGCCCGCCTGGCCGTGGGCTGCGTGGTGGAGCTGGTCTTCAAGGTGGCCACAGGGGAACTGAAGGTCAGTGCGGACCAGCAGGAGGGCTCCTGGGAGGACTCAGCCCGGGGAGGGAGGGAGGGAGGGACAGCCCGCCCGCTTCGCTCCCGCTCTGGACAGGCACCTGGTGGCTGTGATGGGGAGTACGGGCGGACCCAGCTCTGTCATCACCGTTGAACCCAAGGGGACTTTTCCCACGCTTGTGAAAACACGTGTAACGATACAGCATTTCTCAAAGAATTCGATCTCGGGAACACGCTGCATTCTTACAGTGGCTGAAAAATCCCAAAGAGCTTTTGTCTTTATGAGTTGTGTCATCAGCCTTGACCACTCATTAGAGTTTAAAACTGAGGCTTTTAAAATATTTATTAATTTAAATATAATAATAAGAGCTTAGTCGCTCAGCTGGACTCTCACACCTGCTTCTGCTTCCGTATCTAGTGACGTGTTGTTTTAGTTGAAGCACACAGAGAAAATCTGGCCTCGCACAGATGCGGAACTGGGGAAGGGGGAGTATTTTAATAGCGCCTTCAGATAATTGTGGGTATTCTTCTTTGATGCTTTGCCAAAATTCAACAAGTGACAGCTTCTTGAAGATGAGTTGCAGTGTGGACCCTAAAACAGCACCAGCGAGCTTGTCCTCCTGTACAAGAAATTCCATCAGCCTCGCACGTGGAGCCAGTCATTTATCCTGACGTTTGCACAGTGCATAGTTGTTTGGAAATAGGGGCTCACTGGATCACGTAGGTCTTCCAAATCTTGACACATTTTATTATACGGTGTCCAAAGCATCACTAATCTTTGAAACCATGAATGTCACCACCCATCTCATCAGGAAGGTCTTCTCAGTGCTGGGAAGAGCTGGGCCGAATACAAGTTTTCCAGAGTTCTCGGTTTCATGGGAAAGCTCAAATCCCACCCCTGACAACAGCCACTGTCTGTCACTTTCTTTGAGGTGACAGCCCCGCGGGTTATTTACACGCCTCCCCATCTCTTTGCACGGGTGTTAAAAAGATGTCGAGGTTTGGGGCTTCCCTGGTGGCGCAGTGGTTGAGAGTCCGCCTGCCGATGCGGGGGACACGGGTTCGTGCCCCGGTCCGGGAAGATCCCACGTGCCGCGGAGCGGCTGGGCCCTTGAGCCACGGCCGCTGAGCCTGCGCGTCCGGAGCCCGTGCTGCGCAACGGGAGAGGCCACAGCAGTGAGAGGCCCGCGTACCGCAAAAAAAAAAAAAAAAAAAGATGTCGAGGTTTAATGAAATTGATAAGTTTTACTGCTTCTTCGGGGCACTGACACGGAGCTTCCTTTACCCTGCAAACGTGTGTGCCCGGGCCTCCTCCTGCCACCGTACCTGAAGGCCACCCGCTATCGCTGCCCGCCGCTGGTCAGCTCTCAGCTCCGCGGGAAGGGCACAGAGCCTTGGGGTTGCTATGCAAAGGCCCCCGGGGCACGGGACCCCTGGGGCCCGCGTCCCCATGCAGAACCGCAGCGCTGGGTCCTGTGCAGGAGAGGGGAGATAGTTGGGCAGCGCCAAGCGTGCCGAGGCGGGGCTCCCACTAAGTGTGCCCCCCCGTCCTCCCCCTGAGCTGGTCTCTGCAGCAGGCTGGGTACACTTCCCACGCCCGGTCAGCGTGGTCCACGACCCATGGGTCTCTGTTACAGACCTCGATCGCACAGCTTCCTGCGCTGGTGAGACCCGGGGTGCCGGTCTAAACCGTTTTTATTATGGTGGCTGCAGGATGGTTTGCAGATGGTTCTTTTAAAGCATAAGTGACTCAGGGGTCCTAAGCAGGGATGCGGGCTGAAGCTCCTCTCCAGCCTCTGAGATTTTCCTTCTAAGCGTTAGTGATTGTTTTCTGCATCGCTCAGTCCCCTGGGAACTGAGCTGCACTGACAGCAGAGAGATTCACGTTAAGGCCAAACTAGGGCACAGCATCTGTGCAGCAGCCGAGCCTTCTCCGTTTCATCTGCGTCCAGGGTTCCCGTCAAGTTGCTTCCTGGGGATGCTGGTTATGATCAGAGGGGGGCCGGGGTGCCCCTTCCACCCCTACCCTGCTTCCCCAGCTGAGCAGCTCCCAGCCTTGCCAGCAGGCTGTCAAAGATAGAAAATCGGGGATGGACTCACCTTTTATCTTAGTAATTTGTGATAACCAGCAGGGCTTGTTCAGAGAAGGGACCTACATGTCTTTGAAGTGCTCACAGCCAGCCCTGTATCCTGCCCTATGTCTGTGCGCCCAGAAGGCAGCTGGAAGCCGTGTCCTCAAGCACACTCTGCCTTTCCTCACTGACCTGAAACCAATCTTTTGTCCCCATGTCTCCCTCTTGGTGTCGCGCGTAGAATGGCTTTGCCGTGGTCCGCCCCCCGGGACACCACGCAGAGGAGAGCACGCCCATGTAAGTACACACGCGTCACTCTCGGGCAGGGGGCTTGCGGCACTGTCGCGCCTGCCCGTGCACGGTCCCCGAGAGGCCGGTCCAGCGGGGCGTAACCGTACGTGCAGCTCGAGTTGGTTAGGGTTGGTCCCGGTGACGAGATGTAGGGGGCGGCGCGTGGAGGTGTGCAGAATGGGAGGCCGTGTGGGCAGAAGCGAGTCCAGAGGAGTCGTCTCGTTGTCAGGCTTGGGAGAGGGAACTTCAGCTGCCCCAGAAGGAGTTCTCGTGGTGCTTCCTTGTTCTGGAGCTTTCACAGTCAGGCCTCAGGTCTGCTCACGTGTGGCCTTCCAGCTGACCTGCTCACGGCTTGGCACCGCGAGGTTGAAGCCCCAAGGTCATGACCACAGGGGTCAGCTCTGGCCTGTGTTTCGGGTCGTAGACACCCCTGACTGTGCACATGAGAAGCTGGCCGAGGTGGCGGGGTTGACGTGCGGATTCAGGCTCCATCCTGGTCGAGGAGAAGCCGCCTGGGGGCAGTCACAGGACTTGACCCGGGCAGTTGTGCGCAGAGCGGACGCAGAAAACCCTCAGCAAGCGTGATGTCGGGGGCTCGCCCTCGGGCCCTGAGACAGCAGACACCGTGTTGTGGGTCGTCAGGACGAGGGGACGGGCGGTGGCTGGGGGAATGAGCGCTGGTTTGTCGGCTGGTGAAGCACGGATGGTGCAGACGGAGCCGTGGGGAGAGGCAGGAAGCGCGGGGGCTGTGCTGGACCAGGAGCCTGGCTTCCAGTCAACGGGCGGTGGAGCCCTCAGCCGCCTCGAATCCCCAGTGAGGGCGTCGGGGCCGGGCTTCAGGAAGGGACCCTTCACCGTAAAGGGAGCTGTCGTCACCACCGTGCGGTCACTCCCTGGCCCGGAACGGTCCACGTGACCGAGGAGCGGGCGCTGATTGTTTGTGGCATTTCGCTGAGGTCACCTTTCTAATTCGACTCTGAGCTGTCAGATATTCTGACGGGTGGGCGCAGATGGACCGAGATGGAATACGGAGGGACACGTCCATGGAGGCTCTTAGAGACCCCACAGTTCGGTCCTGGGGCCAGCACGGCCAGAGAGGCGGTGGCTGCTGCGACGCAAGGCTTCCCGCCGGGCAGCCTACAGCCCGAAAACAGACCCACCCGGGCTTCTCATTTTCTTTGGTGATTCAGGCAAAGGGAAATTCAGGTTTAGGAGATTTCCATTTTTACTTGACTCACTTTCTCAGCTTGTTTTTCCCATTCTCTCAGAGACTCTCTAGAATCATTGTTATACATCTTAGAATATGGAAAGATGCGCAGTGAGAAAGTCAAATGAGTAACTTCCGTGTTCTGTGGGCCTCGGTGCCTCTTGACAGGTCGGTCAGTGCGTGTTCTGGGAGACGTCCTGGGGGCATAAAGTGAGATGGACTCTCTCGCCCTGGGAGCGCTGGCGGCCTGCACGCAGGGACCGTGTGTGTGTGTGTGTGTGTGTGTGTGTGTGTGGTGTGTGTGTCAATGATCAGCATCAGTTAACGTTTCCAAACCGCTTGATCAGGAGCCATGCGTTCACCCCACCTTCTTAGACCCTCGTGGGATTCTAGAACGTTCTATCGCAAGTTGAATAAAAACTAATCAGAGCCCGGAATTTGACTCTGTTCCTCCTACTCTCACCTGCCAGGGGCTTCTGTTACTTCAATTCCGTGGCTGTCGCAGCCAAGCTTCTCCAGCAGAGGTTGAGTGTGACCAGGACCCTCGTGGTGGACTGGGTGAGTGGCCCGTCCTTGTCTCCCCCGCGGACAGTGGGAGGCGGGGGCGAGCTTTTCCATCTCCACTGGCCGTGGGATTTGGGGGCCTTACCTTTCTGGAAACTACCTCAAAGATGCAGAAAGTAAAAGCCCAAACCTGTTAGGAGTCTGTTTGACAGCTCCAACCAGCCGATCCTGCCAATAACCCGGCTCCTGAAGTGTCTAGAAATAGGCCCGTGGTTGAGGGCAGCAGCCGAAGGGCAATCCTTGCAAAACCTCGCTGGGAGGTAGGGGTGCAGGAGGGGGTCGAGCCTGGACCTCGACAGGGATCAAGGGTGTGGCCCGCTCTCCCCAAGCCAACGCGGCAGCTTTGCATCACTGTCACTCCCGGTGTAAAGGCCCTCCCTGCTTCTGCAGAGGGGAGCCAATTTACACTGGTTTAACCTCCTTCCCATTTTCCCATGGGAGGGGCCACATCTGACAATCCCACTGTCTCAGAGGTAAACTCTATGAAAAACGCTATAGAATAACTGAACTCCAAAAATAGGTATACGGAGTCTTACGCTGGAGATGGGGATTCTAGGTGTTCACTTTTTTCTTCTTTTTTAAGCCGTATATGGTGGGGGCAGGGGGAACATTCTCTTTGGTATTTAAGATTTATTTCATCATTTTTTTTTTAGTTAAAAAGATCAGGTGCATTGGGTGGGATTATCTTTTATGCTGCCAAGTCCTTCTCGTTTGGGAAAAGAAAAACCAAAACACAGCCCAGGACACCCCCAAGCTCCGGGCGGCGGGCACTGGTCAAGGGGCCTTTGGGTGCCACGGCCGCACAGCGTGGACTGCGGCGCCCGGTCTTCACACGGCCGGTGCCTTGGCCCCAGGGGCTTCCCTTAGCGCCCCTTGGGGGGCAGTCAGAGATGCTGGGCACGTATAACAGCCGAGTGCTGGAGAAGGTGGGTGTGCCTGAAGCACCCGCAGAAAGTGGGTGATCCGTCCGGTGCTGTCGCAGAACCACGTGTAAGGGCTCCGCTGTCATGTGGAACAGCGCACAAGTGGCGCGTGAGTGCCAAGGCCATGGTGTGCGCCCCTCGGCGGCGGTGGGCCTCAGTGAGATCCAGCTGGTTCCTCACTTACAGCTGTCCTTCCACTTTTCTATAATGAGCACAGATAGCTCTCATAAATAGGGTACGTATTCTAAGCAGTTCCCTGGGGTTTAAAATCACAGACTCGTGTGCAGCCCTCAAGTGTGCACGCTGTATGCAGCAGGCCGCCCCGCTTGCGTGGTTTCAACACGTGGTCACTGTGATTCGGAGAAGCGGTTTGTCTTTCCTGCTTGGGGCCTGGCACCCCCGTCACTCCTGCCTGGGGATGGTCTCCCGTGTACCCCAGGGTCCGGTGCGGAGCAGGTGAGCGGCCGTGGTCAGCGACCTCCCCGGCCCTCACCCGCCAGGTTGTGACAAGAAATTGATCAAATGACTTTGCCTGGAAAATCGCGGCCTCCGGGGAAGCTGAGACACCCGCCAAAGCTGCCCCATGGGGTGCCACGCGGGCGAGGAGGACGCTGCCTGGGGCCTCTTCCTTCTCTTCCCAGGGCCCCAAGGGCCCCGAGCCACGGGGCTCATCGGCCAGGGCCCGAGGGCACCTGCACTGAGTCGGCCCCGCCCCTCCCCCCCCCCCCCCCCTGCCGATGCAGGGGACACAGGTTCGTGCCCCGGTCTGGGAAGATCCCGCATGCCGCGGAGCGGCTGG